CTCTTGTTACCCAGGCTGGAGTGCAATGGCGCGATCTCGGCTCACCGCAACCTCCGCCTCCTGGGTTCAGGCAATGCTCCTGCCTCAGCCTCCTGAGTAGCTGGGATCACAAGCATGCGCCACCATGCCCAGCTAATTTTTTGTAGTTTTAGTAGAGACAGGGTTTCACCATGTTGACCAGGGTGGTCTCGATCTCTTGACCTCGTGATCCACCCGCCTCGGCCTCCCAAAGTGCTGGGATTACAGGCGTGAGCCACCGCGCCCGGCTTGATTGCTTAATTCTTTTTAGTGCTGAAATAATTCTTCATTGTCTGGATGTACCACAGATTACTTATTCCTTCACCTACTGAAGGACATCTTGGTTCCTTACAAGTTTTGGCAATTATGAATAAACTTGCTATAAACATCCACGTGCAGATTTTGTATGGACATAGGTTTTCAACTCTTTTGGGTAAACACCAAGGAGTGCAACTGCTGGATTGTGTGGTGAGAGAATGTTTAATTTTGTGAAAACGACCAAACCATCTTCCAAAGCAGCTGTACCAGTCTGCATTTCCACCAGCAATGAACGAAAGCTCCTGTTGCTCTGCATCCTCACCAGCATTTGGGGTGGTCAGTATTTTGGATTTTCACCATTCTAATGGGTATGTAGTAATATCCTATTCTTGTTTAATTTGCAGTTCATTCACAGTGGAGGCTGTGGCAAGCAGGAGGAGGTCCAGCCCTCTTGTGGGTGTGGTGAGAGGCTCTACTAGCAAAGACATGGGTGCCAGAGTGGGTTCCATGTAGCATGTGGGTGCTGTAGAGAAAATTCAATGATGTACATGACTGATCCTGGACACAAAATCTGTACTGGAGAGGAAATGACTGCTGAAATAAGGCAATTGTATGAATATTTAAAATGCCTGAAACACTAAAAAGTAATGATATTTCAAAAAAAAAAATTTGCAGTTCCTCAATGACATATGATGTTGGGCATGTTTTCATATACTTATTTGCCATTTGTATGTCTTCTTTGATGAGATGTCTGCTCAGACTGAAGGTACAACTTTAGAAGTTATTTAAAAAAAAAAGAAAAGAGATGTCTGCTCAGATCTTTTATCCATGTTTTAATTGGGTTGTTCTTTTTCTTGTTGTTGAGTCTTAAGACTTCTTTGTGGGCCGGGTGCGGTGGCTCAAGCCTGTAATCCCAGCACTTTGGGAGGCCGAGGCGGGTGGATCACGAGGTCAAGAGATCGAGACCATCCTGGTCAACATGGTGAAACCCTGTCTCTACTAAAAATACAAAAAATTAGCTGGGCATGGTGGCGTGTGCCTGTAATCCCAACTGCTGGGGAGGCTGAGGCAGGAGAATTGCCTGAACCCAGGAAGCGGAGGTTGCGGTGAGCCGAGATCGCGCCATTGCATTCCAGTGTGGGTAACAAGAGCGAAACTCCGTCTCAAAAAAAAAAAAAAAAAAAAAAGACTTCTTTGTGTGTTTTGGATAACAGCCCTTTATCGGAGATATGATTTGCAAATGGCTTCCCCAGTCTGTGGCCTATCTTCACATTCTCTTCACAGTGTCTTTCACAGGCCAAAAAAAAAAATTAATTACAATTATTTCTTTCATGAATTATGCTTTTTGTGTTGTGTCTAAAAAGTAATCATGATGCCCAAGGTCATCTAGATGTTTTGTCTTCTAGGAGTTTTATTGTTTTGTGTTTTTACATTTAGGTCCATGATCCATTTGAGTTGGTTTCTGTGAATGGTGTAAGATCTGTACCTGGATTTGTTTTTGTTTTTGCATGTGGGTGTACAGTTGTTCTAGTGCTCATTGTTGAAAAGACTCTTTGAACCATTGTATTGCCTTTCTTTTTTGAAAGGTCAGTTGACTGTAGGTGTGTCTATTTCTGGGATTCCTATTCTGTTCCATTTATCTATTTGTTTATTCTTCAAAAAACACCACACTGTACTTTTGATTTATAGTAATTCTTGAAGTTGGGTTTATCTATCCTCTGACTTACTTCTTCTTCAACATCGTGTTGGTTCTTCTGGGTCTTTTGCCTTTCCACATAAACTTTAGAACTGGTTTGTTGATATCCACAAAATAACTAGCCATGATTTTGACTGGGATTGCATTGGATCTACAGATCAATTTGGGAAGAATTGATATCTTGATAATATTGAGTTTTCCAGTCCATGGATATAGAATGTCTCTATATTTATTTAGTTCTTCATGGATTTCTTTCGTTTTGTAGTTTTCCTCATATAGAATTTGTACATATCTTGTTAGGTTTATACCTAAGTATTTTATAGGGGGTGCTAATATAAATGGTATTGTGTTTTAAATTTCATGTTCCACTTGATCATTACAGGTATATAGGAAAGGAATAGACTTTTATATATTAACTTTGTATCTGCAATCTTGTTCTCATTGCTTCTTAGTTCCAGGACATTGATTTGGCAATTCTTTCATCATTTTCTACATAAATAATTTTGTCACCTGTAAAGACACACCATCTTATTTCTTCCTCTTTAGTCTGTACAACGTTTATTTCCTTTTATTGTCTAATTGCATTAGCTACGATTTCCAGTACAGCGTTGACTAGGAATGGTTGTGAGCAAATAGTCTTGTGTTATTCCCGATTCCAGTAGAAAAGCATCTAGGTTCTCACCATTAATTCTTACGTTAGCTGTAAGGTTCTTATGGTCTTTATCAAGTTGAGAATGTGTCCCTCTATTCCTAGAGTGCTGAAACTTTTTATCATGAACTGGTGTTGGATTTTGTCAAATGTTTTTTCTGCATCTAGCGGTATGATCACATGATTTTTCTTTAGGCTATGGGATTATATTAATTGATTTTTGAACATTGAACTAGCCTTGCCTAGTTGTAATAAATTCCACTTTATCATGGTGTACAGTTGTTTTGATACATTGTGGATTTCAATTTGCTAATATTCGATTGAGGATTTTTGCCTCTCTATTCACAAGAGATATTTTGTGTTTTTTCTTTCTTGTAATGTCTTTGTGTGGTTTTGACATTAGGGTAATCTTTGTCTCATAGGATGAGTCGGGAAGTATTCCCTTTGTTTCTGTCCTATAAAAGAGATGGCATAGAATTGGTACAACTTGTTTTTTAAATATTTGGTAGAACTTATCAGTGTAACAATCTGGGCTCAATGCTTTCTGTTTGGATGTTATTAATTACTAATTCAATTAATTAGAAATAAACATATTCAAGTTGTTTGTTTCCTCTTGTGTATTTTGACAGAGTGTGCTTTCAAATGTGTCCATCATTGTCTAGGTTATCAAATTTGTGGACAGTTACTCATAGTATTCCTTTACCAACGTTTTCATGTCCATGGGGTCTGTAGTAATGCAATGTCTCTTATTTCATTTCTGATATTGACTATTTATTTTTTCTCTTTGCTAGCCAGGCTAGAGGTTTATCAATTTCACTGACCTTTCCAAAAAAATCAGCTTTAGATTTTGTTGATATTCTTTTCATTTTGTTTTCAATTTCATTGATTTCTGCTTTTTATTATTTTTTCTCTTCTGTTTACTTTGAATTTAACTTGTTCTTCTAGTTTCCCAAGGTGGAATCTTAGATTATTTTAGATCTTTCTTCTTTTCTGATTTGTGTATTCATTGATACAAATTTCCCTCTATACAGAGAACCACGGATCCATCCGGCTGGTCCAGGCACCACTGGCGCCCCTCTGTGGCGATTTCCCAATCCCACTATCCGAAGCCACAAGTCAGAAGCCGCTGTAGAACGCTTAGCCAAACTCTAGACTCGAAGGGACGTAAGGCGCAGCTACCTGCCGCGCAGGCGCGAAGCCCTGCTTTCTTCACAAAGACCGAGGGAGGAGGGGTCAGCGCAAACCGTCGGTGTCTCCCAGAAACAACGTTATCATCTCGCCTCCAGGCATACGGAACGCAGCGCAACGCATGCGCCTTGAAGACTTTCAGAACTTATTTCACCTTCGGGGCGGCGGTGACGTGATGACGTCAAGGAACGGAAGCCGGGAGGGAACTAGGGCGGAAGGGGACCAGGGCCAGGCTTGTGTTCAGAGCCTTACCGGGGCTGGGGTTCCGATGTGGTCCCCGGAGCGGGAGGCCGAGGCCCCTACCGGGGGAGACCCGGCGGGCCTACTGCCCCCCGAGTGGGAGGAGGACGAGGAGCGCATGTCCTTCCTGTTCTCCGCTTTCAAGAGGAGTCGCGAGGTGAACAGCACCGACTGGGACAGCAAGATGGGCTTCTGGGCGCCGTTGGTACTGAGCCACAGCCGCCGCCAGGGGGTGGTGCGCCTGCGTCTGCGGGACTTGCAGGAGGCCTTTCAGCGCAAGGGGAGCGTCCCGCTGGGGCTGGCCACGGTGCTGCAGGACCTGCTGCGGTAAGGGGCGGGCGGGGGCAGCTCCCCGAGGGCCGGGCCCTTGTCCTGTTCTCAGCACAGCGCATTGCGCCCAGCCCACTGTCTGGCCCAGAGAAGGCATCCAGTGTGCGTTCAGAAGGCGAAGAAGGAAACTAAGGAGGCTAGGCTAGGGAGGCTTGGAAGGAGAGGAGGAGGGGGTCTGAGGAGATTGGGGGGCGGGGATAGTCAGATTAGATGAGTTCCAGAGAAGCTAGCCTAGCAGAGGTGACAGTGATTTGTCTGGACTGAGATCCCCTTACGTAGTTATTTTGTAAGGGCCTCCAAATTTGAACGGCCGGTGGAGCAGAAGGTCTAAGAGATAGGATTTATTAACCTACGGAAGGTCAGGGCGAAAAAGCGGGCATTCACGGGGAAGAGTTCTGTAGGCATCTTGCCAACAACCCCTGGCACAGCTCATGCATCTGGCCTATCCTGGCTTGTCCTTGGCACAGGCTTTTTGGAGCAGAAAAGACGTGAAGGAGAATGAGGGCTTTGCTGAGTATCTGAGAGCCTTTAAAAGGTCTGTAGGAGATACGTGTGCAACAGGTGCAGTGTTCTGGAGGTATCTGAGGGGTAACATTAATAACTAATAGATGTACAGTGCTTCCCAGCGTGCAGACACTTTGCATGCACCATTTGACCCTCTCAGCGGTCTTGTGATGAGGTGATAGAGTTAACCTCAGCAGACAGAAGAGGAAACTGAGTTTGAGAGAGATCACGCGACTCACTCAGAGTTACACAGCTAGTTAGAGGTTACAGCCGGACTGGATCCCTGGTCTTTGGATAAGTCATTTGCTCTTCGATGTACGTATTATTCTGAGACCCACCTAGTATGATACCTCTCTCAGTGAAGGAAGGAGAAGGTCAACTCTGATGGTTTGGTTTGGTTTGGTTTGGTTTGGTTTAGCTTGTTGCGCTTTCTGATTAAGAGATCTCTCTTCCCTACTTTTGTTCCCAGTACCTTTCCATTGGCTGACACTGATATTGCCCAGGATGGTCTTGAACTCCTGGATTCAAGAGATCCTCCCACTCGGCCTACCAAAGTGTTAGGGTTACAGGTGTTGAGCCACTGCACCTGGCAAGACTTTCTGAGAACACGTACAGTGGAAACAGTTTTAGTTCATGCCTGAAGTAGGGAACAGGAGAAACAGTAGTTGAAGAAGTCAGTGAGGGATGAGACCAGAATGGGCCTCCTTATTGTAGAGAGGTGATGATCTTTCACTTCCAATCCAGACCCTTGAATACTTCCATGGTATTAGACTCCTCTCCTGACTGCCGGTGCTCCACTGAAGCTTCCTGGTGCTTACCTGGGTCCTGAAGAATTTCTGAGGGTGATATTTCTCCAGAGACAGCATGGCATAGTAGTAGTATTAAAAGTAATGGCAAAAACCACAATTACTTTTGCACCAACCTAAGAGTTAACAGCTTTGCTTGAGGGCCAGCCAGGCTAGGCCTGGATTCTGGCTCTGCCATTGGCTAGATTATGTGACCCTCAACAAATTTTATGCCATCTTTAAGCCTCAGTTTGAAAATTCTAAAATGGTGACAATTGTACCTAGGTTTATTGTGAGGATTTGAAGAGATACTCCTTAGCATAGTGACTGGCCCTCGGGAAGCATTTAATAAATAGAGCTGCTGTTACTGTTACCAGCACCACGAAATACTTAGATCTTACATCTTCTCCCCACCCTAGCTTTGGAAGAGCAGGAAGTCTTTCTCTGTACCTCTGTGTTTTCTTCCTTAAGTCTTGCACTTGGCAGTGATTTATTTTCATTTTATTGTTTTGAGCTCCATTTGTAAAAGGAAATCTCAGCGAGGGCCCAGAAGCCGCCTGAGTTTCTGTTGTCTTCATGGAGCGCTTGTCTGTTCCAGACCCATCATGGTGTAGATTTGGCCTCTCTCCTTAACCTTCTGAGTCCCTCAGTTTTCTCATTGGTTAAAATGCTCATAACAGCACCTCCCATGCAGAGGTGTTGTGAGGCTTAGAGCCGGAGTATAAACAGTGCAGCTTATAGTAGCTGGCACAGCATAGTTGCCTAATGAATAGCAGTGATGATGATGATGATGATGATGATGATGATGATAATGATGTTGATGATAAAATTCCTCTTTGGGGGTAAAGGGGGAGCTGGGGACTGGAATGGGACCTTGCCTTAAGTGCTGCTACACGCCCTTCTTTTCCTTTCCCTGCAGTCGAGGAGAGCTGCAGCGGGAGTCAGACTTCATGGCCAGTGTAGACAGCAGCTGGATCTCCTGGGGGGTCGGGGTCTTCCTGCTGAAGCCTCTCAAGTGGACTCTTTCTAACATGCTGGGAGATAATAAGGTTCCAGCCGAGGAGGTCCTTGTGGCTGTGGAGCTGCTGAAGGTGGGTACTCAGAAGGGGGTGTCTGGGTGTCACCCGATGCGATTGCGGCATCCTCCGCATCCCTTGTGTGCGTTCTTAGGAAAAGACTGTCTTCTTTACATAGTACCTGAGTTGATAACTGGGTTTCTCTGCCCTCCCCTTGTACTTGCACTTTGTATATATTTGTTAGCGGGACTTGACATTTCAAGGGTTAGCCTTTGGGAGTTGTCAGTAACTAACAGTGGATTATTTTCTAGTAGCTGTAGGGATTAATGTTAAGCAGCAGTTTAGGAAATGATTTGCCTTCTGTAGTTTACTGACAAGAGTCTCTAGGATTCCCAAGGACCTTGTGGCTTTCACCATTGCCGCCTCTAAACTGGCCCACTCAGCTCTGCTTTCCGACTTTCTGCGGTGCTCTTTCCCGTCCCGGCTTTCTGATGGCCTGCCCTCTGCTGTGCATGCGTTTCTGCCTCGAAGAGGCCACTGGGGCCATGGTCCTGTCATAGCCTCGCGGTCAGTCTGCCACCTCCCGGCCTGCCTTTCCCACAGCCTGGATCGCATGGCTCACTGCTCCACTCCCTTCCTCGGCAATACCCTCAGCTCCTTTGCATCTCCTTTGGCCCACACCAGGAAACTCCAGCAAATCCATAGCCCTAGATCAGCTGCATGGGGCCTGCCACCCCTGCTGGAGAAAATGCAGACTCAAGTTCCCTTCATGGTCACCAGCTGTGGGAGGCCCTTGGAGCCATGCCACAGCCTCACTTTTCTTTCTCTCTGTCCCCTTACACGCTTTATCCATCCAGTGTCCTCCTTCCTCTGTGTAGGCACTTCCCTGAGAAAGTAGTCTCAGGATTCCTGAGCTGGCCTTCTGTTTTCTGTCCTGCCACCCCAAGCCTAACCTCCTCAGAACCCACCTCCTTCTGTGCTCGGAGAGTAGTGTCCTTCCTCTGCCCCTCGTCTGCCCTGGGTCTGCCCTGCCCCTGTTGTCCCTTTGTCCCATCTGCTGGCCTTTTGCCCGGTATGTTCCGTCTCCATCTCAGCCTCTAAACCCAAACCCACTCATGCTTTTCCCGACACAGATTGTCACTGTTGTGGTTCCCGGGCCCTGCCTAGTGACTGCTGTTCCCTTCCCAGCCGACCTTTGTGTCGCCATTTCCTCACCTCCCATTCCCTCGGTCACCCAGTGCAGACCTGTGTCAGCCACCTGCTTCACCCAGATTGCTGTAGATGAGGTGATAGGAGCCTTTCATACAGAGAGAGAGAGAGAGATTGTGTGTGTGTGTGTGTGTGTGTCTACAAAGTTGACTGAGCCTCGGGTGGCAGAAGTACATTGCGGAGAGTAGTTAATTTTGAAGTTCAGAGACCAAGCCTGACCTCAGGGCCCTTGCGTAGCCCTAAAGGCTTCACACAGCGGGAGCCAGCCCAGAATCCCCACCCCTCCCCGCAAGAGAACCACTGATTTCTCCTCACCTTGAGAGACTCCAGCCCACTCTGCTGCCAGTCTTTCCCTGTCCCCCAGGATTTTGGACTGAGCAGCCCACATTTTCTTCAGGGGCAGCCCCTCTGCTCCATTGACACTCCCTCCCCACACCCGTGTGGTTATTCCCCTGCCCGGTGCTTTGGTCTCCAGGGCTCAGTCAGGGTCCCCACACAGACTGCAGGATGATTCGGGTGGCTCTGGGCCAAGCTCAGGTCCTCTCTGCCATCTTTCTCTCATCTCACATGTCCTCCAGCCTGGAGCAGAGGAGAGGTAGACCCCTGGATCCCCACAGATGAGGCTTGCACTGGCAAACAAAGAAAGCCTGCTCTTTTAAGTAAATTGATTTTCCCCAAGTCCAGACAGAAGACAGCCAGCAACTTTTTGCTTTCAGATGGTACTGAAAAAATACAAAAAGGCCAAAATTGTCCGTGATTTTATTTAAAAAAAAATACAAAGAAATGAAAGTTCCCTTTCTGTTCATCCAGCTTCTCTCTCTTTGGGTACTGTCTTCCCATTTGTGTGAGAGCATGTGAGCGTGCACGTTTACAGACTGTGTTTCCTTCATAGCCTTGTCAACCCTAGTTCTTCGGAAAATCTTACTTGCCTGTTTCTCATCTGTCTGTTCTGCTAGAAGGGAGCAGTGCCATGGGCCCTGGGACCCCGGGAGCAGTACCTCGTACCTGGTAGACAGTTGATAAGTATCTGTTGGGTGAATGAATATAGACACACAGACACATGTGGACACATCACTCCATTTTTTTCTAGAAATGGAATGGGTATGCAACTTGCTTTGTTTTCTTTCCACTGCATTATATCAGACACCTCTTTCCAGGGCCTACACAGCAGAGATTGACTTGATTCTGTTTGATGCCTGCATGATAATCTGTCGATGTGCCACAAATCATGCAACAGGTGCTCCACAGATGGACATTTAAGTCATTCCCATTTCTCTCTCCATTTTTCCATCGCAAAAAAAAATGCTACTTGTGCAGACATCTATATACTTCTCCCGTTATCTTTATGGAATTGATTTCTGGAAATGCATATATGCCTTTTAAATTTTAACAGAAATTGCCAAACTGCTTTTCGAAAGTGAGTGCTAAATTGTACTTTCATCAAGACTGTATCAGGGAGTCTGGTCTCTCCACGTCCTTGTTGGCGCTGGATGACATCAGTATTTTAAATCTTGCCAATTTAAGGGGGAAAAATGATATGTCCTGTTTGTGAATTGAGCATTTTTTTCACCTATGTACTAGCCATTTACATATCCCCTTCTGTGAATTGTCTGTTTATATCCTTTGCCTGTGTTTGTGTTGTGTTATCTTTTATGTTACTCTGTATTCTGTATGTATTAGAAATAGATACATATAATGTATTTAGTATTAAGGATGTAAATATTGTTTCCCAGTCTGTTGCTTGCTTGGTTTTTATTTATTGATGTCTTTTACCATGTGGAAGATTTCCTATTCAGATCTCTCAAACTTTTCTGTATGGTTACTGAACTTCAGGTCTTGTTTAGGAAGTCATCTTCTGCCTTAAGCTTAAGTAGATATTCGTTTATGTTTCCTCTGAATTACTTTGTACTTTAAGTTATTCTGTTTATATTGCCTTACTTCAACACTAATTTTTGTGTACGTGGTAAGGAAAAGCTCCGTTTTCTCCCAAATGGACAGCCAGTTGTGTCCGTGCCTTTTCTTGAGGTTGTATGACATGAATTTGTTTGTGCTGTTCCTGCAGTAGCTGAGTATCTGGTGGGGCAGTCGAGTCAGTGAAAACTTGATGTCTGCGTCTTACTAGGCTCTTTTGCATCCTTTGACACTGTTGATGAGTTGCTGCTTAAAATGTCTGGTTTCCTTGAATTCGTTTACATGATGCTGCAAGTTCTCCTTGGTTCCCCCAGAGCACTCCTTCCGGCTCTCCTCTGTGGGTTCCTTCACTTCATAAGCAATGGTCTTCCCTGTGCTTATCACTTTCCTCGCTGAGTGTCCTCAGGATCTTCATTGCCGTGGGTATGCTGAGGACTTCCAGCATGGGAGCCCTGCCCTGCTGTCTCCTTTGAGTTTCAGATTTGTGTATCCACTTACATGTATGTATCTTCTTGGATATCTCTTAGACATCCTAAAACATTATATCCAAGGTGGGATATTTTGTCTTTTCTTTCAAATAGGCTTTTCTTCCTGTGTTTCTTCTATTGATAGCATCACATCCACATTCATGCAATCCATAGTGACTTTACACTCGACCTTCTCCTCCAACCCTATATCCAGTTACCAGTTTTACCTTCTGAATTCTGTTTGGCTCCTCCTCCTCTTTCTGTACTTATTACTCAAATAGTCTTGTTCAGCCCCACATAATATCTGTGTAAATGGTCTCCTTGCCTCTTACCCTAACTCTACAATCCATCCTCTCCCAATTGGCAGTGAGCTTTCTGTTCATCTAGCCCTGTCAGTTCCCTTCAGTGACCACCCGCCATCTACAGAATAAAGGGTCATCATAAGATACTACACTTTCCATAATACAGGAGCGCTTCTCCTCCCCTTTCCCCTCTGCATTTGTACACACGTACCGCATAGACTCACCCTTCTGTGCTCACGTTCCTCTCTCTTCCTGAGAGACCCCTTTCACCCCTTCAACTAGCAACTTACTCACTCTTCAGAAATCTGCTCCACTTTCCTTTTTCAGGAAGCCCTGAGTCCCCAGGCATTCCTTCCCTGTATTTTCATAGCGTCCCATGCACACCTCAGTAAGTCTTTCTCGTTTCTGGTAGTAATTTCCATGTATGAGCAGAATAGTGACATTGTTTCTTGGAACTTATATTTCTTACTTAGTCTTGTCAGTAATCCTATCCCATCTGTTTGTCATGTACTTTTATTTGTTTTGTTTTTGTTTTTGAGATGGAGCGTTGCTCTTGTTGTCCAGGCTGGAGTGCAATGGTGCAATCTTGGCTCACTGTAACCTCCACCTCCCAAGTTCAAGCAAGTCTCCTGCCTCAACCTCCCAAGTAGCTGGGATTGCAGGTGCCCACCACCAAACCCAACTAAATTTTTTTGTATTTTTAGTACAGATGGGGTTTTGCCATGTTGGCCAGGCTGGTCTCAAAGTCCTGACCTCAGGTAATCCACCTGCCTCGGCCTCCCAAAGTGCTGGGATTACAGGCATGAGCCACCACGCGCAGCCCTTTTCCCTTAAGACTTTTTGCAGACTCAGTAATGTTCATGTTTGCAGTATAGCCAACTGGCAGGAAAATGGAGAGACTGCAATTGGAAGGGAATTAGATATCATTTCCACCCTCTTCAGAGAATGATACTGAGGACTAGTGAGGCTGTTACTGGTCCAGGGTCACCTAGGCTGGGCCGGAAATCAGGCCTTAGCTCTCATTCACAGCTGTTCTTCCTCACCTCACTTCCTCATTCTTCCCTTGGGAAACCATAGGTCAGGGAGAGGCAGGAGTGTAAAATCTCTGATGGGAATGTGGCACAGAGCTGGCTCCTAGATCTCATGTGTCTCTTTTCATGTGAATTCACCAAACTTTCCTCCAAGGCTTCAAACACAGATCCTTCCTCCTTTTTAAAAAGCTGCTACTATGGGGAGGATGGGGTTGGGATTCCTGAGCCCTTGCCTTGTGTGATCATGGTTTTTTTTGTTAGAGATGGAGTCTCGCTCTGTTGCCCAGGCTGGAGTGCCGTGGTGCAATCTCGGCTCACTGCAACCTCCCCCTTCTGGGTTCAAGCGATTCTTCTGTCTCAGCCTCTGGAGTAGCTGGGATTACAGGCACGCGCCACCATGCCCAGCTAATTTTTGTATTTTTAGTAGAGATGGGGTTTCACCATATTGGCCAGGCTGGTCTTGAACTCCTGACCTCGTAATCCACCCATCTTGGCCTCCCAAAGTGCTGGGATTACAGGCGTGAGCCACCACACCCAGCCGTGATCAAGGTTTTAAAGGTCAGGGTCAGGGTCCCTGCATCTCGTGGCAGTAGCCAGGGCCTGTCAGCCCATGTTGCCTTTCCTGCAGGAAAAGGCTGAGGAGGTGTATCGTCTGTATCAGAACTCGCCCCTCTCCTCCCACCCCGTGGTGGCCCTGTCAGAGCTCAGCACCCTCTGTGCTAACTCCTGCCCAGATGAGAGGACCTTCTACTTGGTGTTGCTGCAGCTGCAGAAGGAGAAGAGGGTCACAGTCCTCGAGCAGAACGGGGAGAAGGTATGGAGGCTCATCTATTCATTCACTGACTCAGTGGTGATTGATGAAGTACGCACGGTAGCGACCCCTTACCTGAAATTTTGCTTTCCGCAGTTTCAGTGACCTGCAGTCAACCATGGTCCAAAAATAATAAGTGGAAAATTCCAAACATAAACAGTTTGCTAGATTTCAGTTGTGCACTGTTCTGAGTAATGTGATGGAACCTCGTAGTGTCCCGTCTGGGTGTGCATCCCCACTTTGTCCAGCATCTCCCCGCCTGAGTCACTTAGGACCTGTTTCAGTGATCACATCGACTCTCACGGCATTGCAGTGCTTGTGTTCAAGCCACCCTTATTGTACTTTTTTTTTTTTTTTTTTTCTGAGACAGAGTCCTGCTCTGTCGCCCAGCAGTGGCGCAGTCTCAGCTCACTGCAACCTCCACCTCCCGGGTTCAAGTGATTCTCCTGCCTCACCCTCTCAAGAAGCTGGGATTACAGGCATACACCACAGCACCTGGCTAGTTTTTGTATTTTTAGTAGAGATGGGGTTTCACCAATTGACCAGGCTGGTCTCAGACTCCTGACCTCAAGTGATCCACTTGCCTCAGCCTCCCAAAGTGCTGGAATTACAGGTGTCAGCCACTGCACCGAGCCTATTGCACTTAATAATGGCCCCAAAGTGCATGAGTGGTGGTGCTGGCAGTCCAGATGTACAAACAGAAGTTGTCAGCTGCTTCCTGTAAGTGAAAACATGAAAGTTCTGGACTAAATATGGAAGGCAAAATATCATTTGCTGAGGTTGCTAGGATCTATAGTGAGAAAGAATCTTCTTTTTTTTTTTTCTTTTTTTTGAGATGGAATCTCTCACTCTTGTTGCCCAGGCTGGAGTGCAGTGGGGCTGTCTCAGCTCATGGCAACCTCAGCCTCCTGGGTTCAAGTGATTCTCCTGCCTCAGCCTCCCAAGTAGCTGGTATTATAGGCACATGCCACCACACCCGGCTAATTTTTTGTATTTCTAGTAGAGATGGGGTTTCACCGTGTTAGCCAGGATGGTCTTGATCTCCTGACCTCGTGATCCTTGCGTCTCAGCCTCCCAAAGTGCTGAGATTACAGGCATGAGCCACCATGCCTGGCCCAAGAATGAATCTTCTATAAGAAAAATTGTGAAGGAGGAATAATGTGCACCTAGCTACATGTATAGGGTTTAGTATTCTCCGAGGGTTCAGGCATCTATGGGGGGGCCCCATTCACTGGAACATCTTCCCCCATGGATAAGGGGGGTCCACTGTTCTTGCATGCCCACCAGCACTCCTGCTTGGGAATTTCTCAGCCTTTGTGGGAATGGCAGTAGTAATTTGTCCCTGTCCTTCAGATTGTGAAGTTTGCTCGGGGGCCACATGCCAAGGTCTCCCCAGTCAACGACGTAGATGTTGGGGTGTACCAACTGATGCAGAGCGAACAGCTTCTCTCACGTAAAGTGGAGTCCTTATCCCAGGAAGCAGAGAGGTAACTTCTACCCCTGAGCTGAGCCCCGTCTCCACGGTAGCTGGCCCTCAGAACTGGCAAAACGTTAGTATATGTGGGCTGTTAATAAACAGGTGGATTTTTTAAAAACTGATTACAAAAACACTCACTGCTCAATGCAGAAATCATGGAAACACAGAATATCACAAAGGAGGAAAATGAGGCCTTTTTTTTCCTCCTAAATTGAGACAGTGGTAGGAATCTTAGCTTACTGCAGTCTCAAACTCCTGGGCTCAAGCAGTCTTCCTGCCTCAGTCACTTGAGTAGCAGGGACCACAAGTGTTCACCACCTTGCCTGGCTAATTTTTTAATTTTATGTTAAGGTGGGATCTCACCATGTTTTCTAGGCTGGTCTCATACTCCTTGGCTCAAACAAGCCTGCCACCTCAGCCTCCCAAAGTCCTGGGATTACTAGGGTGAGCCACTGTGCCCAGCCAAAAACATGTCTCAATTCTTCCCACACAAACTATGATTGTGAATGTATGTTTATCTCTTCCTTGCCAGTGTTCAGTCAACTAATATTCATTGAGCCAGGCATTGTCTTAGGGACTGGGGATATAGCCATGGGCAAGACAGGTGCCTGCCTTCGCAGAGGTCTTTCTGAGGAGCCCTTCCCCTGCTCTTCCCCATGGGTAACTGGACAAGGATCCCCTGATAAAGACAGACACTCTGACAGGAGGACATGGGCATTGATGCAGAACCTGTTGTCTCCATCTTCCAACTGGGAACCCTCGCCTTGCCGGAGGGCAAAGGGATATTTCCGAGGCCATTGTTGGTATTAACAGTTCATTCCCTGTCTCCCCAAAATGGGAAGACGTTTATGAGGTGCCCTGCTTGCGTGTTGTGTCCCTGTGGGTTGAAAAAGCTTACCCTCAGTCAGCTAGCTTGAGCCTGTGAGCTGACTTGCTGCAAGAGTTTCTGGCTGTCAGCATCATTTTTCTTGCCACTGAGTAGAGTGGGTTGAGTCTTCAGATTTAAAACCACCTTTGAATGCTGCTCTTGGAGACCCTTTGGGACCCTGCCACTCCCGTCCTGTGGCACAGTCATCTTATCTGTCCCTTGGTTTCCAGGTGTAAAGAAGAAGCCCGCCGGGCATGCCGAGCAGGAAAAAAGCAGCTGGTGAGTTCTTGTCTCCACCAGCCCCATAACGGTGCCCTGGGCAGGCCTGGAGCAATGCCCAGCGGTTCAGAGAGCAGCCTGCTGGGGGCTTGAGGAGACAGAGTCTGCAGCGGGCCCAGGCACCTCAGCGTATTTTACAAACGGGAGGGAAGAAGTCTGGGTTGGCCTTAGCATCTGGGAAGGGCTGTCTTCCTCATGCCCTTTGGCTTGCCCAGTTCAGCACTGACCTGAGTCTCCATGCCCCCAGGCACTCAGGTCTCTCAAGGCCAAGCAACGGACAGAGAAGCGCATCGAGGCCCTGCATGCCAAGCTGGACACTGTTCAAGGCATCCTGGACCGGATCTATGCCTCCCAGACAGATCAAATGGTAGCCACTCCCCTCTGCCCCAGCACTGGCTGGTCTCTCCGTGCGCTGCTCACCTGCAGCTTCGGCTTTGCTCTTTGGAGGGTCCCTGGGTTCTTTCAGGATGTGGCTGGGGTTGCCTTTGCCTTTCAAGTTAGGAGGTTTGGCCTTAGTGGGTAGAGGGTAAATCGAGCTTGGCTGCCAAAAAACAAACAAACAAACAAAAAAACCCAAAGCTGCTTTTAAAGTTGAAATAATATTGTATGTATTTTGCCAAATGTCTGTCACTTGCACTGATAGCTTTGCCTTGTCTATAGGTCTTTAATGCCTACCAGGCTGGGGTAGGAGCACTCAAACTCTCCATGAAGGATGTCACAGTGGAGAAGGCAGAGAGCCTCGTGGATCAGATCCAAGAGGTACAGAAAGGGGCCGGGGAGGGACACACAGAGAAGGAAGTGACAGAGGACAGATTTGACTTCATCGCACATCCTCTTTAACCAAACTTGACTTGTCACCTTGTGAACTTGAAGAAGCTTTCATCGTTTCTCATTTGGGGCAAGATTGCTTTGTAACCCTAGACATTTTCCAGCAGACTGGGATGCTCAGAGCCACCGCACCCAGCTCAGGGCTTTGCCCTTGTCTCTTACAGCTCTGTGACACCCAGGATGAAGTTTCTCAGACTCTGGCTGGTGGGGTAACCAATGGCTTAGGTGAGTGGGCAAGGTGGTTCTTTCTTTCTTCTTTTCATCCTAAAGGACCTCGCTTCCCTGTGCTATGATGGGTTTGACAGTGGGTTTGCTTTTCCAGGTACAGGCAGACCTCCCCTAGCCTGCCCTCCCTGGGGCTCCTCTGTGGGAGCAGTGAGGGAATTGCCATTTTCCCCTTGACAGCCGTGCTCGTGACCCATCTGTGCTCTGGCATTCCTCATTCACACGGCTTCTAACTGGATGATTCTCTTTCAAGGGCAAGGGGAATCCGGGTCAGGTCCATGGGGTTAGCAGAATACATCTCCATGGGGACTTAGCTGTGAGTGTGGAAGAAGCATCTCTGCCTGAAGCCACCCTCAGTCTCTAAGGAGGCCTGGCATCTTTTGTGAATCTCAGCTGGGTTTTGGTAACCTCAGTCGTGGACTCGTAAGTGCATTTCTCCCTGGAGTTTATGCGTCTTTATATTGTCTTTTCTCTCCAGATTTTGACAGTGAAGAACTGGAGAAGGAATTGGACATCCTTCTTCAGGATACCACCAAAGAACCTTTGGATCTGCCTGACACCCGCCGTGATAGGCATTTTACCAACAGTGTGCCTAACCCTAGGATCTCAGATGCTGAACTTGAAGCTGAACTTGAGAAACTGTCCTTATCAGAGGGAGGTACGGAGCTGTTTTCCAAGGCCTCTGGCGGGCATGTGGCCTTCTGGCTGACAGAGTCGGTGGGCCCAAGCCCAGTTTCTCAATTTGCCAGAGTACCAGAGCCCTGTAGGGAGTTGAGGGTTTGTTTCTATTGAGTCTCGGTGCCTTAGACACTGGAATGCCTTCGTCTTCGAAGTTTTCCTGTTATAGTGTTCAGTCATTTCTTTGCCTTGCAGGTTTGGTCCCAAGCAGTAAATCTCCGAGAAGGCAATTGGAACCGACTCTAAAGCCATTGTAGGACCCTCCAGTGAAGGACCCTCATGTAAAAGAGAGACCAGGCTTGTTGAGTGTGTACATAGTTATTTAAACAAGAAACTCTGAGAATGTGTTTGGAAGAGGAGGAAGGAGAGCCACTGATTAATCTGGATGCTCCTATTACTACAGGACAGATAGAATTTCTGGAAGGGATGCTCCACAGGCTTGCTCCCAGCTGTGTCCTGGACCTGCCTTCTCATCTTTCTAGTGCCACGATTTATACAGTCCTGTGTCTGACCTGTCATTTCCTAGCCCGCAGTTCTTGCCATTGGCACAGTTAGGTTTGTCTTCACCCACCAGCTTTGTTTCCAGCCCATGAAGGGGAAAGATTTGCAGCTTTGCCAAATCCAAATCAGTTCCCCCTTCCCCCCCGCGGTTTTTCAGAGGGGTTTATCTTGTCGCTAATGTCAGTTAAATAACGTATTCCTGTCCCACTTGATTTTCACTGGTAAGAGAAGAATGAGAATGAAACACTTCGAGGTTTGATTTGAGGGGACTTAGCTGTCATTTTGTGGAGGAACATAGAGTGTAAAAGGTTTTTCTCTAGGATCATTTGTCAGAATTCTCCAGGTGTTCAGGGCAAGAGGTCTCCCCGGGTGGCCCAGAGTCGTGACAGTCCAGAGGGGCTGGCGTGTTTGGTGGGCGCCGCCTCCTCATCAGATGAAGCAGGAGGTACGCCGGTGGAGAAAGGCTTCTTCTGCGCCTTCTGCACTCGCGTGGGAAGTGGCCCAGTGACTGCAGGACCCTGAGATGTCCAAGCCCCTCATGCTTTTCTAAAGAGGCTAAATTGTTGCCTTGGCCCCATCATGGAGTAACTTAAATTAAAAATACGTATCTACCAGAACAAGCCACACAACAACACACCTCCCCTCCTTGAGCCTGGCATGCAGCACCGGGCTCTTTGAATTTGGAAAGCGTTTCATTTTGTGGCCCACTGCTCGAGGCAGCGGGGCTGAGCCAGGATGTGCAATAGAAGCAGGGGCTGTGCCCTCTGCCAGATCCACTGGGTGCTGCCTGGGCCACCCGTGCACCTGTCCTGCCTCCTGCAGTCCCCGCTCCCTGCCTCTTGAGGGACTGGGCAGGGCAGGGTGGGGGGACAGACGGGAAAGGGTCTGAATGCTCTGGCAATGGTGAGAAGAAATGACAGCCACTCTGCTGCCCAGCCACCAGGATTTCTGCCTGGAGCCCTTTGCCCTGTCCCTGCTGCCTGAGGTGGAGTAGAGCAGAGGAGAAGAATTTGCTCCAGGCCAGGAGCACAAATCATTGTTCAATGAATTTCTCTCCCACTCGACCTTGGTAAATGGAAATGTTGGGGGTGAAGAGAAACAATCACTATTTTTTTTTCTTTTTTTAATCTGGTAAATAATTAAAAGAAAAAACTGGAACACTTGTGCTGTCTCCTCTTTAGGTTGTATCAGGTATCTTGTTCCCTCTTGCCTCCCCCACCCCCAGCTTCTGCACACTCTGGTTCTCTCCCTCAAGGCCACAGGAGAATGTGGAGTGCCTGATCGTGTGAGCTTTGAGCTGCAGTGGCTGCTGGTCTGTCCAAGCAGCCCCCACACTGAGCCCTCCTGGGGAGGACTCATTCTTTGAATGGCCTCCTTGGTTTTAGCAGTGTGCCATTGCTACGGTTTGCCGTTGCCTGGGCTCTATGTATCTGTAAGTGGCCTAATTTCTTCTGCCCGTGTGATTGTACTGTACTTTAATCTGGCACTGGTATTTCTCGGTGCCTCCTCCAGGGATGGTGTTTGCCACGCCCTGTGGGGGATATGGGCTTTGAGGCCGAGGGCATTAGGAACAGGCCAGATCATTGGCTGCAGCACTGGGTCTGTGGCTCCAGGTAAGTCAGCAGGTGAACCAGCCAGGAAAAGGTGGTGAGAGCAGTTCACAAAGCCCTGGGAGAATCTAAAGGAACTGATGAGAAGGGCCAGAGGGACTGGAGCAGACAGGCCGCACAGAAGAGAGTCCGGAACCCCTGACGTTCCATTCCTAATGCTGGAAGGAGGTGGCCCGGACATGGGGTTTAAGGTTACTTTTTCTTTCGCTGTCCTGAGCCACTGAAGAATCCTTGTTAAATGTTCCAGATGGATTGTTTGCTGTGCTACAGAAAATTATAAGGAGCTGTTGAGTCTGTGCTTGGAGCTCAGAACAAGGGGTGATCTACAGGACTCGTGGTGGAGGCTGAGGCTGCCAGCATGGGATTCCCACCAGCCAGGCAAAGGAGCAATGGGCTGAGAGTCTGGCCTCAGGAGTCAGCACCACATAGGGATTTATTCTTGAGAATTTTCTTTTTTCGCTTTTTTTTTTTTTTAAGACAGAATCTTGCTCTGTCACCCAGGCTGAAGCGCAGTATGAAATCATGGCTCACTGCAGCCTCAACCTGGGGTCAAGCAAGCTCCCACCTCAGCTTCCCGAGGAGCTGAGGCTACAGATGCGCCTGGCTAATTTTCTTAATTTTGGTAGAGATGGGGGTCTCTGACTCCTAGCCTCACGAGACCCTCTCCCACCTGAGCCTCTCAAAGTGCTGACAGGTGTGAGCTGTGGCATCTGGCCAGCTTCTTCCTTCTCTTGAATCGCTGCTGCCTCGATAGGAGTCAGAGCGGCACAACCATGCCACAAAGTAAAGAGAAGATGCCGTGCCTGGGAGGGTGGCTGGAGAGTCCCCGTCACTACTGGTTTGGGAACAGTGATGGAGTGCAGAGAGGAGGTGTGGGTAGAAGGGCAAGTGTATATTTGGGGGTGAGGGGAAGGTGCTGCCTGGGAATCTCCTGGGCCTGCCTAAAAGGGTTGTGTAACCTGAGTCCTGGGACCGGGGTGGGCTCTGCAGTCAGCATGCTGTTGTGAGGGGCGAAAGGGTTAAACTGCAGTTCTCACTGCCTGCCTGAAGTGACAGCCCGAGGCTGAGCAGACCTCTAGTGAAGTGGTCAGAGGGTCTGGCTCAATCTGCTGAAAATACAATCTGGGCCTTCTGAACAAAAAGAGCTGGAGCTGTGAAGGAAGACCAGACCCCTGGGAGCTGCTGACTCCGAAGGAACCCAAGCAAAGCCCTGCTCTAAGGCTTGTGGGTGAGCCTGGCGACCCTCCTTTCTTTTGAAGTGTCTTGGTGTCTTCTCATTTTTACATAGTTGTGGCTGCTGTTTGGGGAGATTGTGGCTTCTTTTCTCTTTCTGCGCAGAAGCAATGCAAGGTCATAGACTCTGGAATGTGAGAACCAGAAGAAGCCACGAGAAGCGTAGGGGAATCCCGTTTTACCAAGGAGGACCCTGAATCTTAGGCAGCTGGCCAAGGCTACGGAGCTCATGGGGTAATTTAGTTTATTGATTTCCAGCTGGAGTTCGTTGTTACACAAGTGTTGAGGCTCAGGAAATGATGGTCTGAAATGTGGCATTTGAGAAGCTGACCTAAAGCAGCAGCCTAAAGTCTCTCTCTCTGACCCTTTCTTTTCTCGCTCTTTTTCTTTCTCTCCTTCCTTTTTCTCTCTCCTTTCTCTCTCTCTTTTCTAAAGCACCAGGAGGAGCTCTTTTTCTGAAAGTTCCCTTACCTGATTGAGAAAACTTCTAAAATAAATGTGGTTGTCTTTAAACCCTCTCCCTGTGAATCTCTTTAAATAATCAGGAATGATTAATCACCCAAGAAAAGACTAAAAGGCCGGGCGCGGTGGCTCACACCTGTAATCCCAGCACTTCGGGAGGCCGAGGCAGGTGGATCACGAGGTCAAGAGATCGAGACCATCCTGGTCAACATGGTGAAACCCTGTCTCTACTAAAAATACAAAACATTAGCTGGGCATGGTGGTGCGTGCCTGTAGTCCCAGCTGCTCGGGAGGCTGAGGCAGGAGAATTGCCTGAACCCAGGAGGCGGGGAGGTTGCCGTGAGCCGAGATCACGCCATTGCACTCCAGCCTGGGTAACAAGAGCGAAACTCCGTCTCAAAAAAAAAAAAAAAACTAAAAAAGAAGCTACACCCAGGATACCACACCCAGACAGACTCTGCAGGTTTTCTTCTGAGGGCAGTTCCAAGAGAGAACCTGGAAGGCTGTATCTGCATAATCACAATCTTGGTTCACAGTGTACTTCCACCCCTCACCTTCCATGACTTGTCCACAAACTATCGTTTGTCCTTCAGTCCCATTCAGCCTCCAAAGAGAATCATCTACAAACCACTATCAGGTCTTTGGGTCCATTCATTTACAGCCCCCATCTTCTCTTTCCCCAGTGAAGACAGTATTTAAGTGCCAACTATTGGGCCTTTCTGTGTATGTTCATATTTCTTATATGGCTCCCTGCTTCATGCATGTTAATTTGTTTTTCTCCTGTTAACCTGTCTTTTATTTTAAGGGTGTTGGCTGTGACCCTTTATGATGGGGAAGAAAGAGATCACTCCTTTCCACTCCTGCATCAGGCTGCTCTTAACCACACTCTCAGAAACACATTCTCATGACCAGGCGCAGGGGCTGATACCCTGTAATCCCAGCACTTTGGGAGACCAAGGTGAACAGATGACTTGAGCCCAAAAGTTCAAGACCAGCCTGGGCAACATACTGAGACCCCATCTCTAAAAATGTAAGAAGAAGAAAAAAAAAAAAACTCTCAAAAAATAACTCCCAAAGTACTTTCTGTGGGGAGCGTGTTTCCTGACCCCATGTCAGTGCTTGCAGTTGGAAGATAAGCTTTTCTTTTTTTTTTGAGACGAAGTTTCACTGTTGTTACCCAGGCTGGAGTGCAATGGCGTGATCTTGGCTCACCGCAACCTCTGCATCTCAGGTTCAAGCAATTCTCCTGCCTCAGCCTCCTGAGTAGCCAGGATTACAGATGCATGTCACCACACTCAGCTGATTTTTGTATTAGTAGAAACAGGGTTTCACCATGTTGGCCAGAATGATCTCGATCTCCTGACCTTCTGATCCACCCGTCTCGGCCTCCCAAAGTCCTGGGATTACAGGTGTGAGCCACCGTGCCTGGCCACCATATGATTTTTTAGGCGGTCGGGGAGACATCAGCCGGTAAGAGAAGGTTGCCTATGTGGAGCGAGGACAGGAATCAGGTGTCAGGAGCGGCCAGTTCCCAGGTTACATTGGAGACAGAACCCACAGGTTCCCGAAGCCTAAAGGTAGGGCGGTCGGGCGGGAAGGGAGAGCTAAAGGGTAATTAATACCCTGTGGGCTTGAATAAGTGGGTGGGTGCTGGTGCCATATATCGAGATGGTGAGGACCTGGGGAGGAACAAACTTGAAGATCAACTTGAGATGAAGCCTGAGGCATTCCAGCTGTTACAGGTTGAGGAGGAGCCAGAAAAGAAAACCGAAAGAGGGGCTGGGGAGGAAAAAAAGAAACGCAAACCTGTAGGGTCATGGAAACTGAAAGAGAATGGCCATCGTGGAGTTCTGAGAACCAGGCAGCAGGAGCCCTCTGTTCCAGGGGCAGGCACAGAGGGAGGCATTGTCTGCAGAGGACAGAAAAACAAGAAGAGAACCCAGCCTGCTTTTCGCTGTCACCATGTGCTGACAATTCTAAACAATGTGGGTGATTTATTGGTCTAAGTTCCAAATAACTATTGTGGTTATCTGAGCCTGTGGGCACATTTCTATCACTTAGCCTTTACTAACCCTTCTACTTGGAAGTTCATTCAGAGAACTCACCATCTCTGGGGCTGCCCGCACATGCTCAGTTTGCAGGTAAGCTTTCAGCGGTTTGGAATCACTAGAGCTCATTGTGGTTGCAATTTGTATCTTCAACTCTTATGATAATATGTATTCCTGGGTTTAAATAGTAGATTCAGAATAAGCCAAGACACTGTAGTAATTGTAAAGACCAAAGACGCAGAGCATGAGTTACTGTAATTATGTCATTTTCTATGGCCACTTGGAGTTTTGCTTGTGTTTAACGTTTAAAACCACGGGCCGGGTGCAGTGGCTCATGCCTGTAATCCCAGCGCTCTGGGATGCTGTGGCAGGTGGATTGCTTGAGTCCAGGAGTTCAAAAGCAACGTGAGCAACATGGAAAGACCCCATCTCTACAAAACTTAAAAAATTAGCCAGACATGGTGGTATGCGCCTGTGGTCCCAGCTACTCAGGAGGCTGAGATGGAAGGATCACTTGGGCCCGTGAGGTTGAGGCTGCAGTGAGCCGTGATTGTGCCACTGTACTTCAGTGTGAGTGACAGAGCCAAGAGTCTATCTCAAATAAATAATAATAAAACTGTGGAAAAGAACAAACGACATGGTATACTTTTACTTGCTAAGTGAAAATTTTAGTTTATGTGTAAAATATTTTACCAAATTTGAATATCTTTAAATGGAAATTTCTTTTTCTTTCTTTTTTTTTTTTTTTGAGATGGAGTCTTACTCTGTCGCCCAGGCTGGAGTGCAGTGGCACGATCTAGGCTTACTGCAAACTCTGCCTCCTGGGTTCAAGCAATTCTTTGCTTCAGCCCACTGAGTAGCTGGGATTACACATGCCCGCTACCACGCCCAGATAATTTTGTATTTTTTCTATCTTTTTTTTTTTTTTTTTTTTTTTGGGGATGGAGTTTCGCTCTTTCATCAAGCTGGAGTGCAGTGGCAGGATCCTGGCTCACTGAAACTTCCGTTTTCCAGTGTCAAAAAATACTACTGCCTCAGCCTCCTGGGTAGCTGGGACTACAGGTGCGCACCACCACGCCCAGCTAATTTTTTGTGTTTTTGGTAGAGATGGGGTTTCACCATGTTGGCCAGGATGGTCTCCATCTCTTGACCTCATGATCCGCCCTGCCTGAGCCTCCCAAAGTGCTGGGATTAAGCCACCACATCGGGCCATAAATCTGCATTTAGAGTTAGTGTCCAAATTTCTGCAAAAGTCTTACCTTTGTCAGGAGACCCCTCATTCTATCTGGGTTCCCATGACTCTGGCCCTTTTTTTTTTTTTTTTTTTTGTGAGACAGAGTTTCGCTCTTGTTACCCAGGCTGGAGTGCAATGGCCCAATCTTGGCTCACCGCAACCTCCGCCTCCTGGGTTCAGGCAATTCTCCTGCCTCAGCCTCCTGAGTAGCTGGGATTACAGGCACGCACCACCACACCCAGCTAATTTTTTGTATTTTTAGTAGAGATGGGGTTTCACCTTGTTGGCCAGGATGGTCTCGATCCCTTGACCTCGTGATCCACCCGCCTCGGCCTCCCAAAGTGCTGGGATTACAGGCTTGAGCCACTGCGCCTGGCCGACTCTGGCCCTTTAAGAAGAGGTTAGAACTCTGGAGAGGTTGAGGTCTCCTAGGAACTGAGGGACAACAAAAGAGTCAGAGACTTGGGGGGTGTGGTGGGGACCCTCCTGGCTGGGGTGGCACACACACAGGCCAATCAGGTAGAGCGGGAACTAAGGAGGATGACTCATCCCCCCCACCAGCCCCTGCAGCTCCGCACCCCTCTATCCTGCTTTCCCTCTCTAGTTCTGGCCCTTTCTCCACCATCTCTTTCTCTACCCTTTCATCACTCCCACCGCCTTGGCTCCAGAATGGTCTTTACTTCTGGCTTACAGGAGTTTGTTAGTTGATTTTCTTGGGTTTTTAAGGTTAAAAAAAAAAAAAAAAAAATCACAGGTCTGGCGTGGTGTCTCATGCCTGTAATCCTGGCACTTTGGGAGGCTGAGGCAGGAGGATGTCTTGAGCCAGGAGTTCAAGACCAGCCCAGGCAGCATAGTGGGACCTCGTCTCTACAGAAAATACAAAAATTAGTCTGGTGTGGTGGCATGTGTCTGTAGTCCCAGCTACAGGAGGCAACAGGATGGCTTGAAGCCGGGAGTCCAGGTTACAGTGAACTATGATCATGCCACTGCACTCCAGGCTGGGTGACGGAGAGAGACTTTGTCTCAACAACAACGAAACCCCACAAACACCACGTGTATTCTGCAAATGAGAAGGTGATATCCTCAAATGTCTGAACGTTTCCGTTTTTATGCCTTTTTGTCAATTTGCTTTTTTTGCTAGTATCTCTTAAAAAAAGGTAAACGCTAGAGGCATGGGTACATATCCTTGACTTGTCCTCAAGTGAATGTGCTTCTCCATTTAGCCCTTTGTGGTGTGTTGATAATTTTATTTAGATCCTTAAATGAATTTGCATAGAGTTGTTCTAAATGGGAGTTGGGTGGAGAACATATAATAATGTTTTGCTTTTTGAATCCTTTTTTTTTTTCTTTGAGACAGAGTTTCACTCTGTCACAAAGGCTGGAGTGCGGTGGTGCGATCTCGGCTCACTGCAACCTCCACCTCTCTGGTTCAAGCAATTCTCGTGCCTTAGCCTCCTGAGTAGCTGGGATCACAGACATGCGCCACCATGCCCAGGTGTTCACCATGTCGGCCAGGCTGGTCTTGAGCTCCTGACCTCAAGTGATCCTCCTGCCTCGGCTTCCCAAAGTGCTGGAATTACAGGCATGAGCCACCATGCCCGGCGTCTTTTTGAATCCATTTTAATGTTTGTAATATAATTGAATTATCCTACCTCTGCTTTGTTTGAAACACCTTGGTGTTACTTCTATCACTGATTTTTTTTTTTTTTCTGGCCTCCTCTCCCTCCCCAGTTATATTTTTCTATATAGGCAGTGCTTCTTTCTTAACCAACTTCCATAACCTCTGGCAGTTATTTGGAAAAAATAGCATTTTTACTTCACAGCTATATGCCTCTCCCCTCCCCCCACACGTTGAAATATACTCTGGGGTTATCCCAATTTATGGCGATAACAAAGTTGCTTTTGTTTTTACATTCTATAGCCCTCCTTTCAAGATTTATAATATTTGTATAACCTTTTGTTGCTCTGATTATTTAAATTAATTGAATGTTTTAAGTAAATGAATTATTCAGCACGAGGCCTCTTCTGCCAGGTCATACCAGCTTCTGAGTCATTTGTCTGGATTCATCTCTTGGTTGTGGGGATTGTGTCTTCCAGTGGCTTTCCAGAAAAGTACATGCATGTCAAAGCATGACTCAGAAATATTGTTTGTTTGTTTGGAGACAGAGTCTTGCTCTGGCGCCCCGGCTGGAGTGCAGTGGCATGATCTGGGCTCACAGCAATCTCTGCCTCCAGGGTTCAAGCGATTCTTTTGCCTCAGCCTCCTGAATAGCTGTGACTACAGGTGCCTGCCACCACGCCCAGCTAATTTTTTTTTCCTTCCTTCCTTCCTTTCCTTCTTTCTTTTCTTTTCTTTTCTTTCTCGACATGGAGCCTCCCTCTGTCCCCCAGGCTGGAGTGCAGTGGCACGATCTTGGCTAACTGCAACCTCCGCCTCCCCAGTTCAAGCGATTTTCCTGCCTTAGCCTCCTTCTTTCCCCCCTTTTTTGTTTTAACAGTAGAAATTCTTCCCATCCTCTGTGCTGCTTTTGTTGCATTTACTCACCTTCGAATGGGAACCATTCTAACCTCCCCTTCTGTTTGCACTCAAAGGTGTGGGTAGATTCTCTTCCCCGTTTATCTAGGAATCTCTAGATAACCTCCACCCATGATGGAGACATAGACACTGATACCTGTTTTCCTGTTTAACCTCTGAGTTTCCCAAAGAGGGTTTGGTAGAAATTAAATTCCTGGACAGCGTTCCCCTGGAGCTTGTTTCTACTGAATCTGTCTGAATTTGTTGAACACCCTCAAGAACACACCCAGCTCTAGAAAGGTGGGGACATGGCTTGCTCTCTGGGTTTTGGGTTAGTTCCTCCATTTCAGGGAGGTGCAGCCACTTTGCTGAAAAATTTGGGCAGAACAAAAGTGTCTCTTGAACTTAATTGATCCTAGAAGACTGTGCCAAAATTGAGGGGAAAATAAAAGAGGCCGTCTTGGAATCAGACCCATCTTTGCTCCAAGTAAGACTCTGGAATGTAGTATCTGTGCAAGTTGGGTAAAATTATTTCACCTTTCTGGGGCTCGGTTTTGCCATCAATATGAAGGCTAGTCGTGTCGCTCTGGGAAAAGCGGTTTGTGTTAGTGGCAGGTGCGCCCCCTCCCAATAGGTAGCAAGAACACGCCCCTCCCGTTCCTGGCGCTACCTCCCCCCGGCCGCGCGGTGGCGCTGCGTCCCCGCAGCGGCCGGGGCCTCTCTGGGGCGCTCGGGCGCGCAGGCCCGTGGGGACGCCAAGGGCTGCGGCCACGCGCGGAGAGGCTGCGGTGAGTGCGGCGGGACTGGGGTGCGATAGCCTCGGCCCCCGGGATGGGAAGGGGCAGCTGGGCCGCTTGGAGCACGCCCCTGTGATCCCTGAGAAGGAGCGCAGCTCAGGGTGCGGGGCCACCTTCAGCATCCGACGGCAGGCGGATGAGCCTTGGCAGCAGCCAGGAGACCGCTCCCCTAAGCCCGGACTTGCCGGGGGTCCCTGGCATCACTTCCCCGCAGCCGGGCCTTGGACCAGAGGGTTTCTAAGGCTCTTGCGGTGCCGGCTTTGCGGGGTCGCGGGTGATCCCGGGGTCTGTGCTCTGATCTCCGGCCCTGCGCGTCTCCCCTACAGGCTCTCCCACCGGTCACCCTGGCCCTTCTCTGCTTGGACGGTGTCTTCCTCTCCTCAGCCGAAAATGACTTCGTCCACCGGATCCAGGAGGAGCTGGACCGCTTTCTGCTGCAGAAGGAACTGTCGAAGTAGGCTGGTGTTCGGGGCGAGGGTGCCCCCTTGCTGAGAAAGGCAGAGTTCCCAAGCCGCCTGTGTCCCCTCCCCCATGTGGTGCCTGGCCGCTGGCTCTGACCTTGGCCTTTAGTCTCCATAACGCCAGCTGCCTCTGTAATTCTGAGCATCACCCGGAGACTGAAGGGGCCTGGCAAAGGGATGGGGATGGGCCCTGTGGGTCCCTGCGATCACCTCTCTCTATGCTCAGATCCTTTCAGTCCGCCTGGGACCCATGGGGCAGAAGGGAGCCCAGTGTATCTGGGAGTGGACCTGGTATGGGTCAGGCCCCAGGGTCTGGCCCTGGATCCCTGCTCAGCACTTATTCCTGTCCCTTCCCAGGGTTCTTCTTTTCCCTCCACTCTCCAGTCGCCTCCGGTACCTGATCCATAGAACAGCAGAGAATTTTGATCTCTTGAGCAGCTTCTCCGTTGGGGAGGGCTGGAAGAGGAGGACGGTCATCTGTCACCAAGACATCAGGTGTGTAGCCTCCCACCTTGGAGTGCCTGCAGCGGGGGGTATGTGGGTGGCTGACCAGCTGGTCAGCCTTTGGAAGGGCAGGGCTGGGTGGAGCTAGGGCTGGGACCCCCGGCAGCTGCCATTCCTAGCTGCAGCCGCTCAGCCAGTGCTGCTTTTTGCATCAACAGTGGGGCAGACATGCAGTTTGTGGAATTCACTTGGCAAAATCAGCTATATGGTTGGGCCAAAAGAGAGAAAGGAAAGAGAGAGAGAGATCTGTTTGAGGAGGGGAGGGGGGCCTCCCCAGCATTCCTCTCAGTTAGCTTGTGCCCTGCAGAGAGCAGAAAAGCCCCTGCCGGGCTTGGGTCCCCTCTGTTCTGATGTGCATCTCACAGTGGGCATCTTACTGCAATGACTGTGATGCTGGTGTTTGAAGTTACATGTTTTTCTGATAGCATCATTCCTAAATGCAAGCGCTTACCTCCCCTGGTGTGTAATTGAAGACGGACTGATCTCTAATTTGAATCACAGCACTAGAGGGTGAGCTGGCTGTGCTGGACTTGTTTAAAAGTGACAGCTCACGCCTGTAATCCCAGCACTTTGGAAGGCCGAAGCAGGTGGATCATGAGGTCAGGAGTTGAAGACCAGCCTGGCTAAGATGTTGAAACCCCACCTCTATTAAAAATACAAAAATTATTCAGGTGTGGTGGCAGGTGCCTATAATTCCAGCTACTCAGGAGGCTGAGGCAGGGAATTGCTTGAACCTGGGAGGCGGAGGTTGCAGTGAGCCGAGATCGCTCCACTGCACTCCAGTGCCTGGGTAATAGAGTGAGACTCAGTCTCAAAAAAAAAAAAAAAAAAGTGACAGCCCTCCACCATGATGTCTTCCTACGGGATTTTCGAAGTTATTTTGGCTGTGGTTTTCACCTAATGCTGAACTGAATGTCACTCCTGAATGACAGGTGGCTCCAGTAAATCATTTTCCTTTGGGCCCCTACACACTCTGATGACCTCCTCCCGTTCCTGCTCCAGGGTACCCAGTTCAGATGGCCTCTCTGGCTCCTGCCGCCCTGCTGCCTCCTACCCCAGCAAGTACCACGGTCCTCGGCCCACCTCAAACCAAGGAGCAGCTGCAGGGCCCCGAGGTGCCCGGGCTGGCCGGTGGCATCGTGGACGCAAACCAGACCAGCCTTTGTATGTGCCCCGGGTGCTGCGCAGGCAGGAAGAAGGGGTGCTGACCTCTACCTCGGGGCTCAAGGGAGAGGCCCAAGCTGGCAAGGACCCAGAAGAGCCTGGAGATGTTGGTGCTGGAGACCCCAACTCTGATCAGGGACTCCCTGTGCTGACGACTCAGGGAACAGAGGACCTAAAGGACCCAGGACAAAGGTGTGAGAATGAGCCGCTGCCTGACCCTCTTGGCCCTGAGCCCCCGGAGCCTGAGAGTCAGTCAGGGAAGGGAGATAGGGCGGAGACGGCCACACAACTTGAGTCCGGCCTGCAGCTGGACCTGGAAGAGGGGAAGGAGAGTCCACTGGAGAAGAGGCTGGTGGCAGAGGAGGAAGAGGACGAAGAGGAGATGGAAGAGGACGGCCCCAGCAGCTGCTCGGAGGACGATTACAGTGAGCTGCTGCAGGAGGTGATGAGGCTCTTGAGCCCGGAAAGGGAGGGCGGAGGTGAGGTGGGTGTGGCCGTGGGTGGATGGGGACCAAGGGTTATGGGTGGAGGGCAGGGGATGTGCAAGGGGAGGCAGGGCTGGGTGTTGGGTGACAGGGATTCCTTAGGGAACACAGGAGAGGAGGTGTAGATTTGGGCCCCAGCCCAGCCATCTAGGAGATGCTTGACCCTGGGCAAGTTATATTGTTTTGCTGAGTCAGTTTCCTCATCTGAAGATAAAACCAGATGATAAGCCCTCACTGGGTCACGGAGGGGACTCTGTGTGACCAGATGGTAATACAGGCCTCACTGGGCTGTGGAGGGGACTGTGTACACGTGCTTCGTCATGTGTTTTGGATGCCAGTCATGGAAATTACTCTTTAGCCTGAAGTTTTATCTTACAAATCTTGTTTCCTTGGAACCATGTGTCTGCCCCTGAGACTGGCTGTGGGTTCTGGTGGGAGGGTGGCATCTTTTATCGCTATTTTATAAATAAAGAATGCCGACCACAGCCCTGTGAAGTATCAATCACATCACTAGTAGGGGAGGGAAAGGTCTTGGACTCGCCCAGCTCTGCCTCTGACTGACTTTGCAATTTTGGGGAGAAATTACTTAACTCTTGGGGCTTTGGTTTCCCCATCTCTAAAGCAGGTTTCTAGAATATAGTTCTCAGGATTCTCTGGAACGTTATGTGTGTCAGTGCCAGTCATTTAGTGGGGACTCCATACAAGTAAGCACCCTCCCCTAAAGCCCACGCTTCTTGACCTTCCAGCCCAGCCTGCCTGCTGCTGTTTCGCCCCGACTTTTGCCAGGTGGGCCCCTTCTCCCCGCAGAGCTCTCAGCGCATGTCCAGGCTCCCCTTGCTAAAGGGTCCGGTCTCTCCTAGATCACAGACAACCTGACGAAGAAGGAGATTCAGATAGAGAAGATACACGTGGACACGTCCTGCTTTGTGGAGGAACTGCCTGGAGAGAAGGACCTGGCCCACGTGGTAGAGATCTATGACTTTGAACCAGCGCTCAAGACGGAGGACCTGCTGGCAACGTTTTCTGAGTTCCAGTGAGTGGTGGCGAGGGAGGTGCTGCCTTCAGAGAGGAGCTAGGACACCTGTTTGTAGTTGGGGGTGCTTGCCTGCCCCGCCCCCAGTGCCTAATCCTTCACAAAGAGAGAAGTGGGTGTGTGGCCTGGGTTCTGTATTCCTGGGCAGTTTGCCCTGCTGGCCATCCCTGGGAAAGGGAGCTCTGATCTGTGGGTTGTAGACACACTCTGGAGGCCCTAGACCTGGGCTGATCCCCCTGCGTGGCCACACGCCTGCCAGGACCCCACATGCCCTCCCTCAGCCTCGAGGGACGAGGCAGCCCACTCTCCTCCCCTTTCCTGCCTCCCAGCGGCTGCTCAGTGGGTCTCCAGCAGGCTGCGGGCCAGCTCCACGTGGGAACTGTTTGCAGGGTGCACTGAGCTGCCTGGTGGGGCAGAGTGGAGGTCGGGATGGTGGCCAGAGGCAGTACTGAGAGACAGGACTTCCCTCTTCCTCAGCTTCGCCACAGGCCCTTAGATCCCGGCTTGCTTTCTTTTTTCTTTTCCTTTTTATTCTTATTTCCCATCTTCCCTTCCCCTTCTTGGTTCCTGCCCAGTCTTGCTTTGTCTTTTTTTTTTTTTTTTAAACGGAGTTTTGCTCTTGTCGCCCAGGCTGGAGTGCAGGGGCATGATCTCGGCTCACTGCAGCCTCTGCCTCCCGGGTTCAAGCGATTCCTCTGCCTCAGCCTTCTGAGTAGCTGGGATTACAGGTGTGTGCTACCACACCTGGCTAGTTTTTTTTATTTTTAGTAGAGTCGGGGTTTCACCACCTTGGTCAGGCTGGTCTCAAACTTCTGACCTCGTGATCCGCCCGGCTTGGCCTCCCAAAGTGCTGGGATTACAGGCGTGAGCCACCCTGCCTGGCCTCCTCTTCTCTTTTTTGAGACAGGATCTGCTCTTCCGCCCAGGCAGGAGTGCAGCGGTGCAATCGTAGCTCACTGCAGCCTCAACCTCTGACTCAAGTGATCCTTCCACCTTGGCCTCCCAAGCAGCTGGGACTACAGGCATGCACCAACGTGCCCGGCTCTGCCTAGGCCTTTAGAAACTCCTTTCTGCATGGCGCTCCTTGCTAACTCTGCTTCCCAAAAGCCTTGTCCTGTGCTCTGCCTGTGAGTGGGAGGAGAGCCGAAGGGGCGGCTAGGGGCAGCACATTCTGTTCTTCTGTTCTGTACCTTGATTATAGCCAGGCTGGGGCCCCGTGCCTTCCTCAGCTGGGTGGGGCCACAGTGCCTTAGGCCTCTCACAGGCTGCAGGGTAGGTGGCACTGTGGTGGCACTGTCCTGGGCAGTAGGAAGAAAGCCCACAGGAGCATGTTGGGCCTGCTGGTTTGCGGTCCTACGCCTCTCCCCCACCTCAGAAACCCCTTTGGCCCCAGCCTCAGACCCCATGGCATTGGCCTGGCTGTGACAGGCCCGAGAGGAGCCTTTTCCTCCTTGGGGTCATGCCGTATAAGCTCTTTGAGTCTTGGCTTCTTTAGTTCTAGAAACTGGTGACCTGCCTAACATACTGGCAGGAGTGACGTTTGTCTTTCTGAAGCTGCCCATATGGGCGTCAGAGGAAGTTTGGTGCAAATGGTGGTCTCCGTCCCCAAGGAGATGGGCTGTTGCCTGAGGCTCACGGCATCTGTGGGCTGGGGGTCAGGGAGCGCGGCCGCAGGATTGGAAGAGGAGGAGTTTGACTGCTTGCTCTCCTGAATGTGCTGTCTCCTTTCTCCCCGCAGAGAGAAGGGGTTCAGGATTCAGTGGGTGGATGACACTCATGCACTCGGCATCTTTCCCTGCCTGGCCTCAGGTAAGGCACCCCCGGTGGGCCCGGCCCTCGCTCAGACCCCCACTGAGAGGGAGGATCTTGGTTCCCTGGGTGGAGGCCACCCATCTCCTGGGTGCAGGCTCAGCTGGGCCAGTGGCTCTTGGGGTTCTGTTCCCAGCCTAAAACACAGGGGGAGCTGGGCGGTCTCTGGCCCATAGTTATGTGTCTTCATGAAGAAGGTCTTCCTGTCGTGTTAGTGCTTTCTATGAAAAGGCATCAGATTCAGGTCACCTTTGCTGAGGAAGGGCCATGGGCCAGCCCAGTGGATGTCCCTGTATTAAATGAAACCACAGGACAGTGCTGCTTTAATGGGCCAAAAGCATTCGAATTCTGGCAATTTCATATGGTTCAAATAGATACATTCTTACTCGATTTTCACTTCAGCCTCAGGATGTAGGTCAGAGCCAAGCATGGTGGCTCACGCCTGTAATCCCAGCACTTTGGGAGGCTGAGGCAGGCAGATCACCTGAGATCGGGAGTTCGAGACCAGCCTGACCAACATGGAGAAACTGTCTCTACTAAAAATAGAAAATTAGCTGGGTATGGTGGCTCATGCCTGTAATCCCAGCCACTCAGGAGGTTGACACAGGAGAATCGCTTGAATCTGCGAGGCAGAGGTTGCGGTGAGCCGAGATTGCGCCACTGCACTCCAGCCTGGGCAACAAAAGCGAAACTCCATCTCAAAAAAAACAAACAAAAAAAGATGTGGTCAGGTTACTGCATTGTGCACCTGGGGAGACCTGAGGCTCCCAGAGTGTGGGTGTGTACTCCAGGTTACACAGCCTCTCAGTGTCACAGCTGGGAGCGCCACGGCACCTCCCCATGACTCCGGTGCTCCACTTCCCCTCAGCCACTTGCCTGCACTGCCTTGCCACCCACTGTGCTTACGTTTGGTGTAATTTGTAGTTACCCTCACCACACCCCTTTCACTGGGCTTCCCAGAAACAGCCTTCTGAACACCCAAGTTGTGGGCTGGGAGCGTTATTGCTGGTGGGGCCAGTCCTCAGGAGGGAGGGGGCAGTGTTTAGGGAGGGAACGGGGCAGCGTGGGGTCTCAAACCCCAGAGAGGGAGATTGCGGAAAGGAAGGCAGGGAGCAAGGCCAAGGGCGGCCCTGTGCTGTGACAGGAATGAGCTCTGGCTGAGGTTGGCCATGGCATTTTGGTCTCCTCCACAGCCTATGGCGGGAGCAGGTTCCCTGGGCTCAGTTTCCTCTTCTGTCAAACAGCGGGCAGCTTGGACCTGAAGCCTCTCCCAGCTCTGCTCTGCTCTACTCTGTAAATAGCTGGGGTGCTGCAGGGCCAGGCGTGACTCAGGGCAGTGAATGCATGTTTCCTGAAGGGTCTTGAGTGGTGAAAGGGGGAGAGGCGCCGGGCGCGGTGGCTCACGCCTGTAATCCCAGCACTTTGGGAGGCCAAGGCGTGTGGATCATGAGGTCAGGAGATCGAGACCATCCTGGCCAACATGGTGAAACCCCATCTCTCCTAAAAATACAAACATAAGCAGGGCATGGTGGCGTGTCCCTGTAGTCCCAGCTACTCAGGAGGCTGAGGCAGGAGAATCACTTGAATCTGGGAGGCAGCAGTTGCAGTGAGCTGAGATCTCACCACTGCACTCTAGCAAGACTCTGTCTCCAAAAAAAAAAAAAAAAAGAGGGGGAGAGGCTCTGTTGAGCCCTGGGGCTTGGGGAGCTGAGAGCCTGCCTCTTCTGATGTCAGAATCACAGCCTCACCGTGCTCCCCGACCAGCTTGGGGTAGGAGCGTCCTCTGAGTGCAGGTGTCCCTGTGCAGGCCTGTGGGGCTCTGGGGAATGAGGCAAGCAGGTGGCAGTCACCTCTTGCCCATCCAGGACGCTGTGCAGGCCTGTGGGGGCTCTGGGGAATGAGGCAAGCAGGTGGCAGTCATCTCTTGCCCATCCAGGGCAGTGTGGGAGCAGCCCTGCACTGAACTTTGCACAGGTGCATGACATGGCTGCATGGATTCAGGGTGATTGGTGTACCTCGGTGTCCTGAGGAGGAGAGCATGGCTCCACATCTGCTTTCTCTCTGCAGCTGCTGAAGCCTTGACCCGGGAGTTCTCGGTGCTCAAGATCCGGCCTCTCACACAGGGAACCAAGCAGTCAAAGCTCAAAGCCTTGCAGAGGCCAAGTAAGAAAGCGATGTCCCTGGATGGGGAGGCTGTGCGTGTGTGCCTGGGTTGGGCAGGTCTTCCCCTCTGTTCATTCTTACCTCTTGATTTCTCTGCTTTTTGGGAGCCCTGGGCTGTAGTAGCCAGTGGGGCTGTGTTCCCCCTCCCTAGCAGGCCTGGGGGTGTCTAGGGCGGGGGTCTCCCTTGGGGAGTGGCATCTGCCAGCCACCATGCAGGGAGGCCTCCTGCTCACACCCTCTTCTGGGCACCATGCAGGGAAAACCTTGGTCTTTCTTCTGGAGGGCCCTGGACACCATATCCACAGGGCTGGGAAGGGCCTGGGCTTTGGGGTCCACTCTGGGTGTGATCCTGGCTCTGTCAGTTACTTCACTCAGCCTTGAGGAAGTCACTCAGTGTGTGAGTTGGTTTTTTCTGTAAAATAAGCAGACTGTGCAGGGTAGCCTGGAGGACTGAATGAGAGCATGGCATTCCTGCCTGGAGCTCTGAGGAGGGCACATAGAAGGTACCAGATAACCATTGGTGCCTCCCTTTCCCCTCCTCCTTCCAGAAACCATGGTGGGAGATTTTAGACATGAGTTTTCCATGACTTCAAAGTAGCGACTAGTAAAACGGGCCTGCAAGACGTCTGCCGAGGCTGGCTGTGCTCTCACGGTTGGTTACGTAGACTACATGGTCCCGGGTTTCTTGGAACAATATCCTGTCTGTAGGTCTGCGAGCTCTGGGTGTCCTATCCTGACTTGACATTCCTCCCAAAGGACCCTAAAAAGCAGGGAGGTGTGCAGGATGGACCCATCAGCCCCCTGAGTGTAGACACGAGAAACAAGGGCATGGAGAGGTGACAGGTTTGGCTCAGCATCCCTTGGGGGACTGGGATCCCTAAGTGGGCCCCCCTCGTGAGCACTGGGCCATGCCACGGGCACACCTGGGCCCAGGCCCCACATATCACATGAGAGGCTAGCTCCGATGGCCTCTATGGCTTGCTGTGTTGCTGGGGGAGAGGCAGCCACAGCCTTGTATTCACGTCCCCACCTTGGGCTTTCCTTCTAGAACTCCTGCATCTGATGAAGGAGAGGCCACAGACAAATGTGACCGTGGCCCGGAGGCTAGTGGCCCGGGCCCTGGGACTCCAACACAAAAAGAAAGAGCGGCCTGCTGTCCAGGGTCCGCTGCCACCCTGAGGCCTGGAGACTCAGCTGGCCTGGATCTGCACCCCGACGTAGCTGGCGCCCCAACACCATAAGCCTTCACAGATGCCGGAGCAGCCCCACGCCACCCTCAGGCTTCATCATGAGGCAAGGTGGGCTTTAGTTCAATTTAGTCCCAGAAATGGAGAAAAAATAAAAATTCACATTGTTCTAATGTGATTGCTTTGAAATGGGGTCTGCGGGGGACGCTAGGGGGTGCTGTTCCACCTTGCAGTGGAGGCCTGCAGCTGCTGAAGGAAGGTCACTGGAGGAGCCTGGCCGGGAGGATCCCCCCTAGGCCTGCAGGGCCTCTGTGCACCGCCTGCCTGGTTTTGGGCGCTGGGTTCACCTGCCGTGTAGCACCTGCCCACACTCCTTCAGCAGTTCACGTATCCAGCCTGCTGGCCTGTGCTGCGAGACAGTTCTGGGACCCCAGGGCTGGTCCTGGTGTTACTGGTCAGTGCCGGTTCTTGCAGAAGGAAACGTGAACAAAGCCAAGAGGTAAGATCCGAATGCACGCTGATGCCCTCATCGACTGTGGTTTGGGTGGCTGGTGCCAACGTGGTCCTACCTGCCCTCTGGTTTGCCGGGCCCTCGCATGCTATTGACACAAGGAGGAGCCCCTGTGTCTGGGTGAGTGGCTGGCTGGAACCAGCCTCCCCCACTGCCACCAGGAAGAGCTGGGAGCCCCTGTCCTGTGAAACGATGTCTTCCTCCTTTGAGAAGCTGCCTTGTGGCTGTCTAAATCTAGACTTTCCATCCGGCCCTAGCGCAACTCCTATACCTCCTGCATAGGAGCTCAAGAAAGGTTATGATTCCTGTTCTGTGGCTTTTTGCGGTCTCCTTGGACTGCTTCTCCCAGAGGGCAGGAGCTGCCCCTTTTAGAGCCTATTGAAGGAGGCCCCTGGTGGCCACGCTGGGCTGGAGGGGATCTGGGGACCCATGTCCACTGCAGGAAAGCACAAATGTGTCCGAAGTTCTGCTTCTGGCCACTGAACATAGGAAGCCCACTGCTCAGGACCCACGTGCTGTGGGTTAAAGGAAACATAGACACGTATCATAAATCTTTTATTCCAAGTTCAAGTATGTGTAAGTGTCTGTGATGACACATGGTGTTCGGTGAGCCTCCCTGTCACCCAGGACCCTGGTTATAGCACCGTTGAATCAAAAACCCACAGAATTGGAACAATAGGAAGATGAGTCACTTACACAGGTGGGCTGGTTTTTCCTTAGAGCTGTACTTCCAAAGGCCCAGATGTCCGATATTAAATACCACTAAATTTGTATTTCGAAAGTCTGTGAAAATATAATATAATATAGTATCTTGAAAAATAAGGGGGACAGGTGGAGAGAGAAGCACCAAGTCCGGGCTCACCGAGTCAGACACCACGTGGCAGCATTATCTATGTGCCTATAGTAGACTAGAGTAGAGGGCGCTGGTTTCCTGGGCAGAGAGGTCTAGATATTCAAGTTTGCTGAAAATGACCTAAGAGGAGGAGAAATGGGATTCGGCCTGACCTTCTCTTGGGAGGTGATGAGACTGCATTTGTCCACGTGTCACTGGAGAAGAGTGTGGCCCCATTGTGTCTGTGGTGAGCCTGGTGGCTTGGATGGGACAAGCTGGTGACAACCTGTCTGTGGGCCTCGTCCTGGGCAAGGTTGGCTCTTGGTGCTGCTCCTGCAGCGCTGTGGACAAACTGCAGCCTCCAAGCCCTTCTCAGGCCCCAAGGGTCAGGCAGCAGCCCCTGGTGAATGACGGGAGCATCCCCTTCCTCCTGAGCTTGGACATGGCTGTAGGGTCTGGATGGGGTGGGGGCCAGGCTGGGCGAGGGCACGTGGCGTTCATTCAGACTCACTTGTGGGGGAAGTCCCAGGGAAGATGTGGTGTGGCCTGAAGACAGGAGGTGACCACGCAGCCGCCTTTACTGCGGGGAGAGCTGGTTGTTTAAGAGCCCGCTGAAGTGCTCAAATTTCTTTTCTGTCTCTTCGCTGAAGGAACCACCTGAGAGCGAGAATTGGGGAAACAGAGTGGGCACATGAGATGCTCAGGCCTTGCCTGACCCTGAGCTGGGGGAGTGGGCCTCAGGGGCTCTGCTGGGACCCCCTCTGTGCGACCTCACAAGCACAGGTCCCAGGTGCTGGCCATCTCTAGGGCTGGGGACACAGCAGGTGCTCTGTCAAAGTTGATTGAACGAGTAGATAAAAATAGCGCCTTTAATTTTAACCTTGCCAAGAGTGAGGTCCATGACTATTCTTGCAGAGGAAAAAGCTCTGCCCTCCCTTTTTGTTCCCCAAATCACATCATCCAAGGAAAAGCCGTCTTTACTGGAGACTAGAAATAACGGTGGTTTGCCAGCTTCCAGCTTTTGACAGAAAAATCTGATAGGCAGCATCCACAAATTGCTGACGCCCACATTTTTGAGGTCACATGCAAAATGAGCCAGTGGCCTCCGCTCTAACCCTTAAATAGCCTTGGGGTCTGCGCTGGGCCAGACCGGGGCCTGTACCACCCTCTCTCCGTGGCTGGAGCTGGCTGTAAAAACTCAGTCTCCATCCAGGCCTGTGTGTCTGTGGCTTCCGTCCTGAATGTGGAAATGTGGTGCTGGCTGCATTCCCCAAGCTCTTTACCCAAATTAGGAAGCTGACTCTGGGTCCTTGAGAAAGTAGGGCAGCTCCCGCATGCTTCCTGGAGCAGGGTGGCCCGGGCCTTACCTATGTGGCAGTTGTACATCCAGATACGGTGGCCGTCGTAGCGGCTCCTGCACTTCATGATGTTGTTGGAGTAATCGGATTCTGCAACCTCGTAGTTGGGGTTAATGACAACCTGGGGAGAATCAGGACAGAGGAGGCTGCTGGTTCCCTCTGCGGCCACCTCCACCCAGGCCTGGGGCTCTGCAAGACTGGTGACCTCGGGGAAGGGAAGCGTGGCAGGTGCCGGGACCCAAGAGAGGGGTCTGTGGGTCCCAACAAAGTCCTTGGGGCAGGACAGGGAGATCCTGCCCTGTGTCCATGTGAGTGTAACACACACCCCTCTCTGCAGAGTGGGCCTTCAGAAAGGGGTCACCCCCTCTTTGGAGTTCTGGGAGAGGCAAGAGTTGGGGTCTGGGGAGGCCCCAGAAGATGATGCTGAAGGGAAGCAGAAGGGTGCAGGAAGGACTGGGCAGTGTGGGGAGAGGGCTGCCTGGGCACTGGAGATGGGACACTCGTCACGGCCATGTGACTGTGGACACGGCCCTTCCTCTCTCTGTGAAGTGATGGGTGGGACGTGGGGATCCGTGTCCCTGTGTGCTCTGCTGGCCCAGGGCCGGGCTCTGGGGCTGCTGGAGAGGCTGCACCCTCTCCCCGTCCTTCCACCCCTTCCTCCCCTGCCTCCGCATCCCCACAGCTGCGGGGACGTTGCCCAGAGCAGCAGGAATAGGAAGGACAGATTCTGAGAGGGTATCTGTGAGGGGACAGCAAAGAGGAGGTTTGGGGTGAGGACCTGAAAAGAGAAAGGCAGGTGGAGGGAGAAAAACCAACAGCAGTGAACAGAGGGGCAGAGGATCAGGTGACAGGCCTTGCCCCGAGGGTCCTGCCACATTTGAAAGGGCTGTAGCCCACAGCAGTGAGGCAGGTACAAGCTGCTCATTCAGGAACATTCTCTAAATTTGGGGCCCCAGAAAGGCCTGAACATGACCCTTCAGCAGGCCGCCAGGCCTGCCCAAACAGGTGCTGTGGGAAAGGGCAGCCAGCCTGGCAGCCAGCCCTGTGCTCAGGCCCAGCAGAGCTGTTCTGGGGCCTGCACTGGCCCAGCTGTGTCCTGCTGGGGCCCTGGCCCTTTAGCTGAGAAGGTGCAAGTCCCATTCTGCTGGGGCGGCTTGAGTGTTTTTTTTTTTTTTTTTTTTTGAGACAGCATCTTGCTCTGTCGCCCAGGCTGGAGTGCAGTGGTGCAATTTAGGCCCAAATGCAATCTCTGCCTTCTGGATTTGAGCAATTTTCTGCCTCAGCCTCCCAAGTAGCTGGGACTACAGGCGTCTGCCTCCATGCCCGGCTAATTTTTGTATTTTTAGTAGAGACGGGATTTCACCATCTTGGCCAGGTTGGTCTTAAACACCTGACCTGATCCGCCCGCCTCAGCCTCCCAAAGTGCTGGGATTACAGGCGTGAAATCTACCCAACCATTCTAGCTGCCCCCTCGTCTCTGGCTCACGCATGGTATGGGGCAAGCACAGGTCCACATGCCAAGGCCTCTGGCTGTGCAGGCCAAGGCAGCGCTCTGGCCACCCAGGCGTCTCCACACTGCAGCTGTGAGGGCAGCACAGGCAGCAAGGGCTTGTGCTGGGGGCACGAGGGCCAGTGTGACATGTGGGGTGGAGGTGGGGCTGGAAATCTGTGTCCCCCACTGTCGCTCTCCACTCATGTCTCATGAGGGCCTGCAGGAAGTGGCTGTAAGCCCCTGTGTGTCTAAGTGGATAAAGCAGGGGCCACCAGGAGCCAAGAGGCCCCTTCAGCCCCGCTTCTGAGCCCTGCACAGCCCCTCTGCATGGAAGGCTACTTCCTCCTCGCCCAGCCCCTCCTCCCATCCTTCACAGCACCACTGATGTCTGAAGTCAAGGCCAGCACTTGCGTCCCCTGAATCCCCAGGCTGGTGCTTGTAGTGCCTAAAGCTCAATGTCTACATTAAGGGGAATGTGTTTTTTGATTAATCAGAGGCGTTAACATGCTTCTAATGAGTCCATTTGCTAATTGTATCATTTAGGGGCTGGTAACACAAAACACAGAGCTCATGTGTCTGGGGTTGTGTGGCAATGAAATCAGGGCAGTGATGACGCCCCTTCCTTGGGAGACTCAATGAAACAATGCATTCCCCAGGCTTAGATATTCAATGGATGGCATGGCCAGAATACAGGGAGATATACCCTCACCCAGCAAAGTGAGAGCAAACCTTAAACAAACCACAGGCAGTGTATACGTGCACATGGCCACAGCTATTCATCTTTTAAAATAAATAACCCTCTGGCTAGGCCTCTCCAAGTCTGTGGTTCTGGGCTTGTGGGTGGAAAAGTGCTTGGCTGTCTGCTTTCCAGCCTCTGAAACTGCCCAGGAATCCTCTGAAAGCCCCTCTGTGGTCACTTCTCTGAAGGTGTTTCTTCAGAGGCCTGTCTGTCGGTGGGGACCGTGTGCCAGGCCCTGGGCTGGCT